CAGGCTGAAGGTCCCCGAGTCTTGCAGGAGTAAAAGCAAAGTCATACTCAGCGTTTCACAGAACGGGACCTTTCAAGAGGAGCTTTCCAGGAGCACTTACCATGAACACCAATTCAGCATATTCAATCAGGAAGTGAAAGAGATATATTATCAGTGGGGTCTAAAAGAAAGCAGAAGGGAGACCCGTGTCAAACGCTGCCCAGATAAAACAACTGGCAATTTGATGAGAAAAATGGAGTAGTACTATAAAAGACTGAGAAAGGTAATTTTCCTTAGTCTCTTCTACAACCCTGTTACTTCAGAGTAAAGTGATTAATCAACACACACACACTTAATGGTCCTTTTCCTTGCAAAGTTCTCAATATGCTTTATAAAAGACACTATTAACTTGGAAAATTATATTCTATTCCAACTTTTCAGTTCTACTAGTATAGCAGTAGAGTCACACTAGAAAGTATATAAAGAACAGCTTTAGAAAATGATTTTTTCTACAGAATCTATTTTTTTAGGTTGTTCGCAGGTTCTTTTGAAAGTGTTTCCTACACAGTTGGTTTCACTGTTTAGCCTGTTGTTTAGATGAGTCTTTTATAAAGCCAAAAGGAGAAAGCATGTTAAAAACATAACGCAGTAGGACTACAGTCCTATCATCCTTTCAGTCGCACAGCTCCTCCCTTTTAGGGTAAGGGGAAGAGTATGTTTTCAAACCATTCTTATGACAGAAAAGCTTAATCTGGAATTACTATATTTACATGGTGTAAATTCAGTCTTCATTGTAAGAAAACATATTTCACCTGAAATACTTTTAAAATAATGTGATGGTAAACAAGCACAGAAAAATATTTCACAGTCTGGGAGAAAATTGTGTTTAAAGAAGGAGAATTTATTGAGGGGAAACAAGTTTTCAGAGGTATATAAAGTATCTGCCTCACCCCTAGGTGACACTACGTATGAATGTACCTTGATATCGATAAGGCCACTCAAAGGCACAAAACTCCCCAGGTACTTAAGGAGGAGGAGGCGTTCTCAAGACAACGAATAAACGTACTGCATGCTTGTGCTAAGGGGAATAGTTTGCAAACGCAGAAATTCAAGATACTGCTGTCCAGTAAAATTGTGTTCAGACTCACAAAGACACTGTCTCTCCCTGCTCCGGCTCTGCTGACAGAAACATCTGGATGTGAACAGAGCATTTTACTTATTACAGATTTCCCCTGTTTTAGCGTTTCTTTGTGCAGTAACAAATATCACCATGTCTATCATCTGCACAGCAACGGGTTATTCTGCGATGAACTGTATTTCTTCATGGTGCTAGTCACTACCTGTACACCTATGGCAGAGACAACCACATGACTCCAAGCTCTCTGAAGTCTTAGGGACAAGACAGGTGCCCAGCCTTTGCCAGTCTGTGAGCAGCAAAACTAAGAAACGTGCCACTTGAATATCACGTGTAAAATGCAGCATGCACACCGACCTCGTGAAAAACAGCTCCGGAATATGGCGAAACCCCTAAATCCAGCAGAGCTAATCCTTCGACCACTGAAACACACAAAATGCCAGCGTTAGAAGCCTGTTATGTGGGAAGAGAAAAACCTCACGATGTTAAAATTACAGTTTTTAAAACACCCACACTCGTGACAATCTCGCATTGAGTTGCCATCTGAACGGGTGACACGAAATGTCACAAAGCCAACAACCAGCTAGAATTGACTGCTTTCTTCCTTCTGCCACACAAATTTCTTTAGTAACTGGATGGTCAGTTGTAATCTATTTATTTGTTTCAGCTAAAAATGTTATAGCTGAAAAGTTTTGCACTTTTATATATATATAAACCACACGTATGACATCTCCTGATTTTAAGTCACCTATTATGTGACACATGGTACCTATGCTGGGGAAATACTTAATTCTAAGAGGACAAATCACAGACTAACATAAATCATATGGAGCTCTGGAGTCCCCAACACAATAAGGACATGGAGCTGCTGGAGCGAGTCCAGAGGAGGCCACAAAGATGACCTGAGGGCTGGAGCACCTCTGCTCTGGAGACAGGCTGAGAGAGTTGGGGCTGTTCAGCCTGGAGAAGAGAAGGCTCCAGGGTGATCTTATAGCAGCTTTCCAGTACCTAAAGGGGGTACAGGAAAGCTGGAGAGGGGCTTTTTACAAGGGCGTGTAGTGACAAGACACGGGGCAATGGCTTTAAACTGAAAGAGGGAGATTTAGATTGGATATAAGGGAGAAATTTTTCACTGTGAGGGTGGTGAGGCACTGGCACAGGTTGCCCAGAGAAGCTGTGGCTGCCCCATCCCTGGCAGTGTTCAAGGCCAGGTTGGATGGGGCTTTGAGCAACCTGGTGTAGTGGAGGGTGTCCCTGCCCACGGCAGGGGGGCTGGAACTGGATGATCTTTGAGGTCCCTTCCAATTCAAACCATTTCATGATTCTATGATTCTATAACACAGAATTTGAACTATTTTGCCTAATTAGATGTAGAGAGACCTGAAACCACACTAAAAGAGCAGAAATTAATACATATCACCAGGCAAAACTAAAAGCTTTATCTGTTGTTGAAACTTCCTGATGTTTTTCTGCCTGAATTCAAATCCTTTGCAATCCTGTAATTACAGTTTGCACTGCAATGCATGCACACATTTTTCCACAGGATCTCCACCTTACTGAGCACAAAGGTTCCCTGGGATGGAGCAGTGCGTGCGGTGAAAGAAGCGATGGGAAACAGGTCCACTTGTTCAGAGGAAAGGAGGCAGGAGACTGCAGGAAGCAATTGGAGGTTCTCAGATCAGCGATATGCTGGAGAAATAGATTCTGTGTCTCTGCCACAACGTTCCCATATGATGACAGCCCAGACTTTTCCAGGTGATCCCAACTGCGCTCCTCACTATCTAGACGCCTACCTTGATGCTCTAAGGTAAGATTTAGAAGGTATCCATTGCTGCGAGGGAATTTTTGGGAGCTGTATTTTGAAACTATGAAGTGATGAAGTGCTGCACGCAGCGGAGCAGAGCCCTCGGGTCATCAAACGCGTCAAAACGCTTTTGACCTTTATTGCTCTGAGCCACTGTTTTCCACCTCAAAACTGCAAATAATTTTACCTCCATGATAACTGGATATCATCCTCCCAAAACGTTGCCTTTAAAATCGATTAAGGTTCCTAACGGGCTCGGACGCTATACAGATGCCACCAAACAGCCTTGATCAAACTGCACCTCGGTTTTCAGACGAGAGTTTGGCCGAACCCCCGTCCCCCGCCCTCCTCCCGTCCCCGGGACAACCGCCGGG